GTAAGGCACTTGTTTCTACTAGCTTCTTGTTACTAGTAGTAAGGCACGGGCCTATGAGACTACTAATAGACACGTTCTTTTTTTGTGCAGAATCTTCAGGATTTCTGGGCTGCAACAAGTCTGTTGGTTGGTTGTCTCAAATTCAACATGTTGCAGAATTCTGCTGAGGATCGGGACACATTATTCTCAAAACGGTCTAGCAACCTTTTCCTACACCTCTCCTGTAGCCTCGGTTGCTCAAGACAACAGCGAGGTGATCTCTCCTAATGAGCTCGATAGGTGTTCAACCATGTCAAGCAGCAATTGGATTCTAATGGGCTACTCTGGCGTTGCTGTTCGGAAATGCTTGGGGGAACGAAAGGCATCATGACTAAATATAGTTCACATAAAGGTAGTTGAACTGCACCCAAACCCTCAGATCAACACGTGATCTCTCCATATCTCTTCCCTCCGCTCTCACGGATCTATCTCGGGCAAGTCATCAGCCGTTTCGATGGCCATGGCGCGATTGCTGCTGTTGCTCGACGGAGTGGCGATGATCATAGGATGGTCGGATCAGTGAAGGGAGATTTCCGACGTGACGACGCTTGAGGCCCAAACTCTCAGATTGAAATGCCATAAATTCCAAAGAAATGACACCTAAAAAAGATTCCAAAGAAATTCCAATGCCAGAAACTCCCAGATGAACCCCTTGGGGACAACGAAATTCCAAAGATATCGTAATGGATTGAATCGAAGGCTGTTCCAAGGCGTGAAGACCACTCGTGCCGAGGCTGGGATGGCTGGTGCACGTGGGCCGAGCCACTGAGTACTTGAGCTGCCAAGCTTTGCGGGTCTCTCGGTGGCACTGCGGTTGTGAGGGATAGCTCCTCGCAATTCTTCCCAAGTGCCGGGTGATAAAGATTTAGATGTGTTAAGGGGGGAAGAAGGTTGTTTTGCTCCAGGTTGCCAAGGCCTTCAGAAAAAAAATACTTTACTTCGAGTGATCCCCACCATGACATTTCAATCATTTGACTTGATGCCATAGTGAGGAGCATGTTGCCATGGTCGTGAGTATTGTAGTTCTCGATTTTGCTTGTGGGTCCTCGGGTTGTGTGCTGCGGTTGTGTGTTGTGGTTGTGGTTGTGTGCTGTGTTGTGGTTGTGGTTGTGTTTGTGGCTGTGTGTTTGTGATTGTGTGTTTGTGGATGTGTTTGCGGTTGTGCTTGTGGCTGTACGTTTGTGGTTGTGTCTTTGTGGTCGTGTTGTTGTGGTTGCGTGTTTGTGGTTGTGTGTTTGCGGTTGTGTTTGTGGTTGTGTGTTTGTGGTTGTGTGTTTGTGGATGTGTGTTTGTGGATGTGTTTGTGGTTGTGTGTTTGTGGTTGTGTTTGTGGTTGTGTGTTTATTGTTGTGTCTTTGTGGTTGTGTGTTTGTTGTTATGTTTGTGGTTGTGTGTGTGTGTCCACCCCTGGGCAAAGGGTTTCCTTCCACCGTTTCACCCACCTTTTACCCACAGATTCAACCGCAGGGGGATGGAGAGGACACGTGAGGCTCCATCCAACGAAGCTCCTCACGTGCTCCTAGGATATCATCAGGGACGCCTGATGACGTACCTGCGCCGTGACACTACTCCACTCTTCCTTGCTGTGTTTTGATGCCATGGTTGTTGATCACGATACTCTCCCCTCAAACAGGTTTCCCACCGCAGACTTGCAACCACACTGACTGTCAGAGTGCAAACATTGTTCAAC